TGGAAATGATGGTATCATCGAACTAGTTATGAAATACACATTCTGCTGATAAAAGAATTAATGATGAGCATACAGGCTAACTGGCTTTTTCATAATAAATGTGTTGATGTAAACTATTTACTCGTTTCATTGCGTGTTTAACTGCTTAACCAGTCATGGGGGAAGATATATTAATTAGTGAAAAAAAAAGATTATATGAACTGAATGTGCTCGACCAGTTCAAATAATGATCAAGAGCCATTCACTCTATTTTATGCATTTGTTTGTTTGCCAGAGAAAGGCAGGGCTGGAGGGAGCGAAGAATGTGCTTTTCTTTCACAAGCAGAAAGTCGAGCTCCTTCTTCCTTCCGCATGATCGGGCAGCGGGTAGCATTACCTGAGGGCCGGCGGGGAAAGGGAGGGGAAGAGGAAGGGGGAAGGGGAGGGGGAGAAGAGGAAAGGAGGTGGAGGGGGAGAACAGGGAGGGGAGGGGGAGAGGAGGAAGGGAGGTGGAGAACAGGGGGGGAAGGGGAGAAGAGGAAGGGAGGTGGAGGGGAGAAGGGAAAGGGAGGTGAAGGGGGAGAAGACTGGGGGAGAGGAGTATTGCCGTGTCTTTGTTTTCCTCTTACTGGAGGAAAGGGAGAGTAATAGAGACAAACGGAAACTCAAAGGTGGACACCGAAAAGGTGAGAGACAGAAACAAAGAAAATGGGACGAAGTAGGAAGTGAGAGAGAGAAAGGGGGAGGCACAGGTGTCGAGAAAAGTGTATTAGTCAACTTTGATGCTGTTAGAATGGACGTCTGCCACTTCGGCGCTAATTGGAGTTCGAAAACCCTAGTAAAAAGACGAAGTGGCGTTCGCAGATCAGTCCGTTTTCAGCCCGTGCTCGACGACGCGGGACGAGCGCTGTCCTTACTCCATCGATTGAGTTCTCCGGCGAGGCTGCTCGCTCCGAAAGTGTGTTCCAGAGAGGTGAGTCGATGAGTCGGCTAATCACGCCGTCGCAGCGAACCATCGTGTGTCGGGCTGGATGTCGGAAACCAAGATGATACCGTCAAGGAGGAAATAAGTCGCAAAGCCCGGCTCCAGACTGACGCTACCCCCCCCCCCTCCCCTTTAGGGCTTCGCCGGCAGCCGCTGCGAGCTTTTCTTTCAGATCTATAAAGTTTCAACATTATTAGACGGAATTTGAAAACATTAAAAAAAAACTGTTATTGTTTATTTTCTCTTTCTTTTTCGAAGCGAAAAAATACATTCATTAAATGTCATGTTTACAGATCCCCAGAGAAGGAAAATACTCAACAAAGGTTCTTAACCAACATGACGTCATTAAGATTTCTTTTCGCGAAGTCCCGGATCGAGAGGCCAGAATATGGCGGGACGGCAGAGGAGAACCGACCAAATGGCTCTTCCAATTTAGCATTATGCCTTGCGGCGGATCTCTCTTGACATAATACATGTGAAGTATTCTGTGACCAGTTAATTGAAGGACGGGTATTTCATTACGGAAGACGAGGGGAGGGAAGGGGACGGGCGCGACGCAGCGGATAGGAATGGACGGGAATGGCGCGGGCGGAGGGAGAAGGAAAAAGGGGAGCGGGGAGGTGTGGCAAAAATGCGCGGAAAAAGAAGTCAAATGGATAGATGGGGTTGCGAAATGGGGGAGAGAAGGGGAGGAGAAAGAAGAGTTTGGTATGAGGAATACATAGGGGAAAAATATATGCTCTCTCTTTTCCCTTTCTCTCCCTCTCCCGCTCAGTTTGGGCGGCTGTTTAAGCTTTATATAAAGAGACATACATACACATGTGCAGATACATGCTGCATAAATGTATATATATTCATCCTGTCAAATTTGATCGTGGGTATTTGTAATTCCAGCTGCATGCATATGCATGCGGACGATGTTTGTAATACCATCCTCCCGGCAGCGAGGCAGAGGGCCGGGCAGGAGGCCGCGCAAGGCTGAGGCGAGGCAGCGTGTTGGGCCTCGAGGGTGCTGCCGAGTCTTGCGTGACGGCAGGAGAGGCAAATGAAAAGTCGTATATACTGGGGTTATCTTATATTTATTCGAATGTTTATTCTGTGTATTTATAAATATGACTAAAGCAATTAGTCTTATGTATATTTGCATATATATTTTTTATTTGGGTTACACTATGTAATAATAATTGTTTGTTTTTGCAATGTAATTGTGTATGGTAAGACTAGATAATTCGTTTTTGATATGATTTGTACCCACCGTGCAAATCGATACATTGCCTGCTTTTAAAACTAATTACTCCAACTATGAATTAATTATTTATTAAATTCCATCAGAATGGGATTCGATAGCACTTTTAAATATGGGAATTACCGAGACAACGGATTTGCAAGGGTGATGGTGAGGGCCGTTGACGATGCCACCAGCTGTGACGGGGATGGATGGATGCAGCAGCATGTCGGGCACACTTTGCATCTCTAGATTAAGCGAATTTTGTAGACAGGCAAGTAAGCTGTACGAACTGGAGGCAGGTGGGGGCGCGAGTGCACTACCGGCGCGGCGGAGTGCAGCTGTGTTCGACCGTGACGTCCCACTCGGCCAGGAAATAGTTCCCTGCCACGGGACCCTTCAGCCCCAGGTCACGTGACATCGCGTCCAGATCCACGATCTCACGACCGGATTTCTGTCAGGGAAGGAACAGACATGTACGGTAATACATTGTTGATGAACCCCGGAGGGAACGCCAGAAAGTTGAGATGAGACGTTGTAAACAAACAGATACGAGAGAGTATATATTGATATCTGTGTTGACAATGAGCAATAACTTATTCAAACGCATTCAGGATTGAGCTGTTCGAATCGGGTGAATCAAGACCATCTGCAGTTTTTTTGGTTGCTTAGATTTACCTTAAATGAATCTTCAAATTTAGCATGGAGACTTACACTCTCATCTTCTGTCCCTTAAGGCAGAGGTGTAAAGTGTACTTCAAGGAGACTTTCGTAAGAAACGCTTTCTAAACACAGGTATTATGAGCCTTTGCAAACGAGGATATCTAGTTGTATAGCTCACAAACATTATTGAAAACTAACCTGGCATGACCTAGCCTTAGGCAGTGCAGGGTCGTCAGAAGGGATGGCGGCCTGCTGGAGGTACAGCAGAAACACCACACGATGAGAACCCGATCCCTGAGCAGGTCGTGGAGGGTCGTACTGCACCACCTCCGTACCTAAGGACGAAACCGCAAAACCACACAGATCAGCTATTGGTAGAGTAGAAGGGGGGGGGGGGATCAAGGAGTCTAAGGCACAGATGAAGGAGAAGTTGAGTTAAGCTTTAGGGGAAAGTTTGGCGACTTGATTTGGTTTAGGACTTTAGGGAATGCGTGGCGTTTGGACTGTTTGCCTATTATGTGGAGTATGGCTGTTCTTATTTGCTCTTCCCTGTCCACGGAGCTTCGTCTTGTTTGCCGTGAAATTGACAATGGAAATCAGACCAGAGGGGGATATAAATGGATGAACTGACCCTTCTGCGGCTGCTTGTGAGGGATATTGACCAGCATCCAGTTGACGTAGGGCTTCGGAGGGCGGTCCAAGTCCAGCAGCAGAAGGGCGTAGTGCCGACCCGACTCCCCCGGGAACCTGTGGGCAACGGCACGACTGTAGACGAGGCTCACAGGCGGGCCAATTTAGATTAACTTGTTGCCGAGCGCTGGAGCTTGAATAGGACAAAATGGCCGGCCGCTTGCTGTAAATACGACGTGGCAACTCGCGTTCCCTGGGAATGTTATGCTTACCGGAAATTATGTGTTTTGATAACCGTGGAATTAATCAGCTGTTTTTTATTATTATTATTAATTAGGTATTTGTGCCTCATTAACTTTGACATGTTAATATACTTTAATTTTTATTATATTTTTATATGTACTAACCACGATACAATACCAAAAGTTCTTACTGCAAAGCCTTGGGTTGATGTCTTGCCTGGGCCGGCGTCATAAGTGAACCCAAGTGCACGCACAAGTGGTCGCCATAGTTCACGTTGATGAGGTACGGAGGGGGGCGGGGCAGGAAGGAGGGTACGATGCCATGGCTCTCCCACTCGCTCTCCAGGTACTGATCCCACTCCTCATCAGTGACCTCCTCGGCCCTGACCTGTGGGTAGAATCATTAAGGGGACTGGGAAGGAATTGTCGTTTTGAATTAAAAACGAAAGTACCATGGGTATTTGTTTTAAGAAAGCAAAAAAGAAAAAGAAAACGAGATGAATTTCGTTCTAAGATTATTTTTGTTAAGGCGTGGACTCGTATTTGCTCTGGTGCGTACAGCTTTAACCCTTGCTTTGGTTCTGAATCGAATAACATGATATCTACAACGGTGTGCAACAGTGGAGGGGAAACGACTCCATAAACATACTGCATCGTCAATTAAAGTCCATATTTCACAGGGCTTCCTATCACTTCCCGTGGAGTCTCTGTCGTTTGGGATTTCATTTCATGTTGCTCTGCAGTTTTTAGGAATTGATTTAGCTGTTTGTTTCAATTACTTCAGCGTCATTTTCAAGTAGATTTCTGTATATATTTTCGACGAAGTTATTATTAAATGGCAAACAACGATATATAGTGAGGGTCTATCTTTATAGAACAAGGAACTGGCTTTTCCAATCTATGAAAATAAGATATGAATGGAAAGCACTACCGTGTTGTTACAATAGTAGAAAAAAACAATGTGCAAACTAGATTTTTCGAAATAAATGAGATAACATTTTCGAAATCCTGTGGTGGAATCCAGGAGGATATCGAAACTGTTGTCTCATTTATTTCAGTAAATCTAGTTTGTGCATTGTGGGTTTTTCTTCCACCATAAAATCTATACCTGTATTGTTGGTTCGAAGAAAGTGTGCATGGAGGCGGGTAACGGCGCCTGATTGAGGGACTCCTCCAGGGAGGGGTACTCCTTGAGGCGGCTGACGAGGTCGAGGGGCAGATGGGCCGGGATCTCGGGCGCTCTCGGGGCCTCGGGAGATGGCTGGGCCACTCTTGT